AGATAGGAGTGATAGAAGAAAGGATGAGGAGAAGGATAGTGGGTAGATCAAGGTAACTGGAGATGTCGACTGACATTACATTTGAATAGTTGGAGATTATAGCTCTCAGGGAAACAGTAATTGGGAAGGGTGTTCCACAGGCGAAAGGTATGAAGCTATTGGAGTAGAAGAGATGGCTACATTTAAAAGTTTCTACAGTGTAAGGGTGAGAGCGGGATGCCAGCCTCGTAAGGCGCTTGAATTCATGGAGTCTGGGAACCAGTGAAAGCAGCTCATTGGAGCAATTACCATGAAAGTATTTGTAAAAAAGACAGAGAGATTCAACGGCGCGTCTGTGAGAGAGTGACTGCAGACGAGATGCCGGATCAGGGCCAACAGAATTTACGGTTAATTTTAATCAATTTTACCCCATTTAAGGCATTGAAGCCATTAAGAAACCAGGGATTGCTGGGTGTGGCAGAATTTGGAACATGAATATTAATTTAAATTTTCAAGTAATTAAAGATTGAATGCTTTTTGAGAATGAACATCTTGCCCAGGAATCATTCTCAAAGACGCCGTCTATTATGAGCATCGGACAATGTATCATTCCAATATTAAGCTCCAATGTTGATCTTGTCCAATGTCCGTAATTCTGGTTCGAAAAAAAAAAATTGATCAGAACAGGTAGAGAATCTCATTACTAGATTTACAAAAAGTTAAATTCAGAGAACGGCATAAAAATTTGAGGTTTAAAAAGAAAATTATTACGGGGGCAAATCGATGAAAAATACGATTGTTTTTTATTTGTTTTTTTTTTTTGTTTTTTTTTGTTTTTTTTTTCAAATCGATGAAAAATATGTTGTTGCTTTGTTTTTCTATAGTTTGAAAAAGAAAAAAATTAAATATTCAAATATTGAAATAGGAATATTTTAATATTTAGTATGTTTTTTTGTCTTTTTTTTTGTAAATCGATGGAAAAAATGAATAAAGAAATCTGAATATTTTGATCAAATATCAGTCGGATTAAAAGAATAACCGGACAAGAGAATTTGTACATTCAGTTTGTAGAAAATACAAATTATAAATTAAACATTTGGGTTTAAATGCTGATCGAATTAAGAGAAGATAATAGTAAAAAATTTAAATCTGAAAATTAAATTGATAAAATCATAAACAAATCGTATATATAAATTTAAATAAAGGCTTGGATGAAATTTTGATCAGATTAAAATAATATACTACTACTACTACTACTACTGACATTAATAATAATAATAATAATAATAATAATAATAATAATGGTATGAACACCACCCAGACCCGGTTACGGAGATAGGACCTGTTACAATTCTATGGGACTACACAATACACACTGACAGAACAATCAAAGCCAACCGCCCAGATATTGTTATTAAAGACCACAAACAAAAAAGTGCCTCCTTATTGATATGGCAGTCCCTACTGACTGCAATGTATCTTTGAAGATATTCAAAAAGCTGTCAAAATACAAGGACCTTGAAATAGAAATCTCAAAAATGTGGCATATGGGAACATCAACAATCCCTGTTGTAGTTGGAGCCCTCGAATTTGTTGGTAAAGATCACAGTCGACTAATTGAATGGATTCCTGAAAGCCCATGCCTCAAGGAGATACAGAAAATTGTTCTGACAAGTACAGCTCACACTTTACGAAGGGCTTTATCTATGTGATATATATATATATATATATATTTTTTTTTTTTTGTCAGAGGAAAGTGTCATGATGCCATTTCTAACCTTAGGACCCGGAAAGAAATGTGTAAACGCCAGAAATCAAAGAAAATAAAAATAATAATAATAATATAGACTGGATGATGATCTATGCCAAAGAATATAAAAGATGTAAGGAACAGTATTCAGTAATAAAGGAAGCCAACATGTTCAAAATGGCGTTTCAAATGGATGAAGAAATGCAAATAGAACATAAAGCAGCTACTGAAACGTCAAAAACCTTAGAAAAGAAAACAAAGGCAAATGCAATAAACCAGTCAGAGAAATGATGGCAAAATAAACCTCTTCATGATCAATATACTGGCCGAATCAAACAAAGTGATGTAGACAAACCACGTACCTATCAGTGGCTACATATTGCAGGTTTTAAGCCGAAACTGGCGGTTTTATTCTTGCTTTACCGGATCAATGCTTTGCTAACTAGAAATTACAAAGCACACTGAAAAAATGCGTCAGTCCAAAATTTAGATCCTTGATACATATCCAGAAACCATTGACCATCTTGTATAATCATGCGCGGCATTGGCACCCTCTGAATATAAAACACAACAGAGTGGGACAATATCTGTCTTAGAAAATCTGCAATTTTTACGGAGAACAATTGCCTGTAACAATTTTAAGCGACTTTACAATACACACCAACAGAATAGTGAAATCTAATCACCCAGACATCGTGATCAAAGAAAACATCAACAGAATTTTATTTCTAGTTGACATGTCAGGCCCCTGCATATTGTAGTGAATCTTTGAAAATGTTTAAAAAAACAAAAAAATGAACTCTTGAACTGGAAATTGCGTTATTGGCACCCACTGAATATAAAACACAACAGAGTGGGCCAATATCTGTATTAGAAAATCTGTAACTTTTACGGAGAGAAAACTGCAAAAGTTGGTATGAACACCACTCAAACCCGATTACAGACATAGGATCTGTAATAATTTTTCTGGGGTATTATAATACACAGTGAGAGAACAATGAAAGCTAATCGCCCTATAAATCGTGATCAGAGACCACAAAAACAAAATTTGACTTCTTATTGACATGACAGTTCCTGCACATTGTAATGTATCTTCAGTGAAATCTCAAAAATGTGGCACATGAGGAATTTAACAATTCGAATTATAGTTGGAGCCCCCGGTTGCTGACGAAGTTTCTGTTCTTGTGTCAAGCAGAGACGAGACTGACGAAGTCAGAAAAAAAAATCAGAGGATACGAGACGGTGACAAGGGCCAAGATAAGCCGCGATAAGTCTGCTAGTTTACGGTTGGGTGCGTGTAAGGGTGTTTTACTTCCCGGACGTTTCCTCTGGACGGATGGGACGGTAAAGATTCTCGGCGTCTGGTTCGGTTCTGATATCCAGTTGGAAATGAATTGGTCAGAGGTGCAAGGGAAGGCCGAGATCGCAATTAATTTGTGGTCTCGGAGGAATCTTTCCTTAAATGGGTGGTCGGAAGTATGTATTTCACACATCCACCCGATTCTCTTTTACCTACTCTCTATGCTTCCATTTCCGTATGACACTTTACTGGCGTTAGTGAGGCTCTTGTTCTCCTTCTTGCTCATTGGCCCCTTTTATTTTTTGTCTATATTTTCTTTAGCTTAATTGTCATTCCCTCCTCCGTTCAGGTGAGCAGAGACTTAAGTTCTCTGGTGGATGCGGGGCGCGTTTCGTTTCGGATGTGTGTGTGTGTGTGTGAATGAGTGAATGCTTGTAATGAATGAAAGTTTTATATTATCAGAGTCTCGCATTGATTTCGTTCAGTTAACTGATGTTTCTGCCACATTTAAGCATTGTGGGGGTGGGTATTACTAATATTGTTTTGCTTGGTTTCTTAAAAATACTTTTGTTTCACATTTGTAAATATTTATTGGGATTTATATTTTTAAAAATTGTTATTTTATTTGCCTCCCTAAATCCCGTCCTTCCCACTCCCTCCCTCCCTCCCTCCCTCCCTCCCACAGACAATGAATTGTACATATGGGAACTAGTTAGGACATCCATACAGACAAGTGGTATTACGTTGGATGTAGTAAGAAAGGTAAGTAAGAATGCTTTTCTTTGGTGTAAGGAATATTGTGGTATGTTTGGGCCAGTGTTTATGGCTAGCTAAGTTTAATGTTAAGAGAGAAGAAGACCGTCTTTTTCCACATTCCACATGTTGGCTTTGTGCCACATTTCTGTATATGAGCGGAATAAATATCGCTTTTCCCCATGGTACCTGGACTTTTCGAAATTAAGCGCAGAATTAGACTGGTGTTGAAATCTCATCAATTTATAGTTGAGCCGGCTGGTTTAAGATGTATAGTAATTGTTCCTTTTCTCGCTTGTGGAACACCCTTCCGGCACCATGATTTCCAGCCAATTTTAATCTGTAAAAAACTTTTCCATTCTGTTCATCTCTATCATGCTATCTATCTAGATGCCTGTCTAGATATATATATATATATATATATATATATATATATATATCTTTTCCATTCTTTTCTATTTAGCTATTTAGCTAGCTAGCTAGGTATCTTTTCCATTCTTTTCGTATCTATCTGTCTATATTTTCTATTCTGTCCCTATCTATCTACACACACACAGATATATATATATATATATATATATATATATATATATATATATATTTTGTGTCTCTTTTTTATGTTCATCCACACTCTCTCTCTCTTCCTCTCTCTCTCAGTTCGGACTCATCTGGCTGCTTGTCTGTCTGTATGTATGTATGTAGGTACTTTATTCCCTCCCTATTAGAGTCGGCCAGTACGATCGTATCTATGCCATTACGTCTATACCTACCTACAGACAAACTGACAGGCATATAAACTGAAAACAACTGAACATATAGAATCATATATATATATATATATATATATATATATATATATATATATATATATATATATATATATATATAGTCAGAAAGTGAAGACTGAGAAGACGCTGGAAAGAAGGATATAGATTTGGATTTCTCCGCCGACCTTCGTGGATCCAATTACCACGCAAGACCCGTGTTTATGTTAGAGGAACATGCGCTCGTATATCAACACAGGCCCTATTCATTTTGACTTCTGAGTCCAAAACACACATGCGTACCCACACAGACACTCATCGTATTTGGCCTACCCACTGAACACCACCCACACATACGCTCACCCAACAGATGCATTTTAGGGTGGATAAAAATTGGCCCGTTTCTGAAATATTATTTTGGGCTGGCACCAACTACTCCTACAGCGCTCGGCTAATGTTCAGTCGGATTTTCAAAACCGTTCCAGCTCCCCTGCTAAGAACTCTTTTCTTGGTTGGCCCAAGCAAGTGCGTCTGCGACTCGAGTCGCAAAGCCGACCTGATTTCGTTTCGTCTGCCAATTCACACTTACTCCGATTTGTAACAAGCTTGTGTTGACGTGAAAATCAAATTCTGCCCTTTCTTTTTTACTTTCTTTTCTTTCTCTCTGTCTTACTTTTCAACTCTTCTTACTTTCTTTCCTTCCGAACTTTCTTTCCAACACTTTATTCTTTCTTAGTGCCTTTCTTTTCAACCATTTCGTTTTTTTCCTTCTCTCTTTTATTTTTTCGACCTATCTTATTTTCTTTTCAACATTTCTTTCTTTCGTTTTTTTCTTTTCAATCTTCTTCAACCCTGCCTCCTCCCTATCTTCTTTTCAACCCTCCTTTCTTTCTTTATTTATTTATTTCTTTATTTTTTCTTTCTTTCTTTCTTTCTTTCTTTCTTTCTTTCTTTCTTTCTTTCTTCATTTATTTATTTATTTTTCTTTCTTTATTTATTTATTTTTCTTTCTTTCTTTTTCCTTTCTTTCTTTCTTTCTTTCTTTCTTTTCAACATTTTTCTTCTTTTCTTCTGAATCTTTCTTCATACCATTCTTTCTTTCTTTTTCTTTCTTTCCATCCTTATTTCTTTTCAATCCTTCATTATTTTTTCAACGTTTCTTGCTTTCTTTTCAGCACTTATTTTTTCATTTCAATTCTTCTTTCTTTCTTTCTTTCTTTCTTTCTTTCTTTCTTTCTTTCTTTCTTTCGTTCTTCCTTTCTTTCTTTCTTTCGTTCTTTCTTTCTTTCTTTCTTTCTTTCTTTCGTTCTTCCTTTCTTTCTTTCTTTCTTTCTTTCTTTTCAGCCATTTTTTTATTCAGGCCTTCTTACTTTCATTTCAACACTTCTTTCTTTCTTTTTCTTTTTAATCCTCTTCAACTCTTCTTCCTTTCTATCTTCCTTTCTTTCATTCTCTTCAATTACTTTTTTCAACTGTTCTTTCATTTTTTCTTTCTTTATTTCTTTTCATTCTCTTAAACCGTTCTTCATTCCTTTCTTTCTTTTCAATCTTTTTTCTTTCTTTCTTTTCAATCATTTTCTTTTTTTAAACCTTCTTTCTTTCTTTTCATCGTTTCTCACTTTCTTTCTTTTCAATCTTTCTTTTCTTTTTAATTCCTTCTTTCTTTATTTCCAACGTTTCTTTCTTTTTTTTAATTTATTTTCAACCTTTCTTTCTTTCCTTCTTTCTTTCTTTCTTTTTTTCATTCTTCCTTTCATTCTTTCTTTCTTTCTTTCATTCTTCCTTTCATTCTTTCTTTCTTTCATTCTTCCTTTCATTCATTCTTTCTTTCTTTCTTTCTTTTTTTCCTTCTTTCTTTCTTTCTTTCTTTCATTCTTCCTTTCATTCTTTCTTTCTTTCTTTCATTCTTTCTTTCTTTCTTTCTTTCATTCTTTCTTTCTTTCTTTCTTTCTTTCTTTCTTTCATTCTTCCTTTCATTCATTCTTCCTTTCATTCTTTCTTTCTTTCTTTCTTTCATTCTTCCTTTCATTCTTTCATTCTTTCTTTCTTTCTTCCTTTCATTCTTCTTTCTTTCTTTCTTTTTTTCATTCTTCCTTTCATTCTTTCTTTCTTTCTTTCATTCTTCCTTTCATTCTTTCTTTCTTTCATTCTTTCTTTCTTTCATTCTTCCTTTCATTCATTCTTTCTTTCTTTCTTTCTTTTTTTCCTTCTTTCTTTCTTTCTTTCTTTCATTCTTCCTTTCATTCTTTCTTTCTTTCTTTCATTCTTTCTTTCTTTCTTTCTTTCATTCTTTCTTTCTTTCTTTCTTTCTTTCTTTCATTCTTCCTTTCATTCATTCTTCCTTTCATTCTTTCTTTCTTTCTTTCTTTCTTTCATTCTTCCTTTCATTCTTTCATTCTTTCTTTCTTTCTTTCTTCCTTTCATTCTTTCTTTCTTTCTTTCTTTCTTTCTTTCTTTCTTTCTTTCTTTCTTTCTTTCTTTCTTTCTTTCATTCTTCCTTTCATTCTTTCTTTCTTTCATTCTTCCTTTCATTCTTTCTTTCATTCTTTCTTTCTTTCTTTCATTCTTCCTTTCATTCTTTCTTTCTTTCTTTCATTCTTCCTTTCATTCTTTCTTTCTTTCTTTCTTCCTTTTATTCTTTCTTTCTTTCTTTCATTCTTCCTTTCATTCTTTCTTTTTTCTTTCCTTCTTTCTTTCTTTCTTTCTCTCATTCTTTCTTTCTTTCATTCTTTCTTTCTTTCTTTCTTTCTTTCTTGTGAACGTTTCTTTTTCCTTCTGCCTTCCTTTCTTATTAAACTCGCCTTTTTGATTACCTTATGTTTTCTTTCTTTCAGATTATCTTTGTATCTTTCTTTCTTTCTTTCTCGGTAACGTTCTTTTTCTTTCTTTCTTTCTTTCTTTTGTAAATGTCTACTCTCCTTCCTTTCCTTTTCTCCGTCTTTCTTTGTTTCTTTTTAATTTATTTTTATCCATTTTCTTATTCTTCAAAGTCAGCATTTTTTAATCTATTTTTTTCCTCTTTTTTATTTCTTTCATTCCTTGCTTAATACTGTTTCTTTTTTTTGTCTTTTTTCTTTTTCTCTTTATTTTTCTTTTTCTTATTTTCTATTGCCTCTCTCTGTTCCATTTTTCTTTCTTCCATTCTTTCTTTTTCCTTTTCCTTTATTATTTTTTAACTTTTATTTTTCATTTATGAGTTTCTTCATTGATTCAATTCGTGATTTTATTTTTTTTTATTTTTCTTGTCTTTTTTCTTTTTTCATTCGACCTCTTCTTTCTTTTTTTTTCTTTCGTTCGTTTCTTTTCTCTTTTAAATTTTTTTACTTTTCCATTTTTCTTTTGTTTTCACTTTTTTTTCACTTTCACGTCTTTCATCTGATACGTAATTTTCCTTTTTTTTTTTTCTTTTTTTTTTTCATTGAATTCTTTCATTCTTTCTCCCCGTTACTTTTTTCACGCTTATTTATTTCCCTTTTTTTTTCTTTCTTCTATTCGCCTTTTCAATCTTTTCCTCTTCACTCTGTTTTTTTCTTGGCATTTTCATCACTTATTTTCACCTCAATTCCTAAACATGATTTCTATTTTTGTCTTTCTTTTCTCTTATTTCTTTTTTTTTTTTTTTCTAATCGTTCATTATTTCTTTTTTTGTTCCTTTACTTTTATTCTTTTATTCGTTCAGAGGGGGGGAATCTCTCTTAAATATCCTTTTTTTTTCTCTTTCTTTTTTGCTTGTTCTTTCTTATTCTTACATTATAACTTTATTTTCCCTCACTTATTTTTTCTTTCTTTCATTCTTGCTTTTGTGTTCTCTCCCATTTATTCTTTTCTTTCTTGTCTTACTCTTTCATTTCTCTCAATCATTCTTTCTCTTCCTTTTTGTAATTTTCTCTTATTTAGTATTTCTTTCTTTCTTTCTTTTTCCTCTCTCGCAATTATTTTTTTTTCCCGCATTTATCTTTCTTCCATTAATTCTTTCCTTCCTTTTCTATCTTTTATCTTTTCTTTCTTTTTTTTTTTTTTTTGCTATCTCTGATTTATTCTTTCGTCCTTTTTTTTTTTTTATTTTTTTCTTTTTTTCTCTGATTTATTTTTTTTTTTTTTTCTCTCAGATGTTTCTCTCATTTAATCTTTCTTTCATTTTTTTTTCCATTCTGTCATTTATTTTTTTCCTTTTTCTTTCTTTCTTTTTTTTCAGATGTTTCTTGTTTTTTCTTTTCTCATTTAATCTTTCTTTCCTCTTTTTTTCCTTTCTGTCAATTATTTTTCTTTTCTTTTTTTCCCATTCTTATTCATTTTTTCCTTTTTTTCCATTTTCTCAATTATTCATTGTTTTTTCTCCATTTATTTATTCTTTCTTTCTTTTTTTTTTTCAATTATTTTTTCTTTTCTTTTTTTCCCCATTCTCTCAATTATTCATTTCTTTCCTTCTTTTTTCCATTTTTCAATTATTCATTGATTTTTCTTTTTATTTATTCTTTCTTTCTTTTTTTTTTTTTCAATTTTTTTCTTTTCTTCTTTTTCCCATTCTCAATTATTCATTCTTTCCTTCTTTTTTCCATTTTTTTTATTCATTGTTTTCTCGCATTTATTTATTCTTTCTTTTTTTTTTTTCCTTTTTCAATTTTTTTTTTTCCTTTTTTTCTCTCATTCATTATTTTTTTTTCTTTTCTTTTATTTATTCTTTTTTTCCTTTTTTTTTCTTTTCTCTCAATTATTTTTTCTTTCCTTTTTTTTTCTCATTTTTTCTTTCCTTCTTTTTTCCATTTTCTCAATTATTCATTGTTTTTTCTCGCATTTATTTATTCTTTGTTTCTTTCTTTCTTTTTTCTTTTCTCTCAATTATTTTTTCTTTTCTTCTTTTTCCCATTCTCTCAATTATTCATTCTTTCCTTCTTTTTTCCATTTTTTCAATTATTCATTGATTTTCTCGCATTTATTTATTCTTTCTTTCTTTCTTTTTTCCTTTCTCTCAATTATTTTTCTTTCTTTTTTTCCCATTCTCTTTTTCATTCTTTCTTTTTTTTCCATTTTTCTTATTCAATTTTCTCGCATTTTTTATTCTTTTTTCTTTCTTTTTTCCATTCTCTCAATTATTTTTCATTCTTTTTTTTCCATTCTTTTTTCCATTTTCTCAATTATTCATTGTTTTTTCTCGCATTTATTTATTCTTTCTTTCTTTCTTTCTTTTTTCCTCAATTATTTTTTCTTTTTAGGAAGGATTTTTCCCATTCTCTCAATTATTTTCTTTTCTTCTTTTTTCCATTTTCTCCCATTCTTTTTTCTCATTTATTCTTTTTTTTCTTTTTCTTCTTTTTTCCCCATTTTCTCAATTATTCTTTGTTTTTTTCCATTTTTTCAATTATTTTGATTTTCTTTTATTTATTCTTTCTTTTTTTTTTTTTTTCTCTCAATTATTTTTTCTTTTCTTCTTTTTCCCATTCTCTCAATTATTCATTCTTTCCTTCTTTTTTCCATTTTTTCAATTATTCATTGATTTTCTCGCATTTATTTATTCTTTCTTTCTTTCTTTTTTCCTTTCTCTCAATTATTTTTTCTTTCCTTCTTTTTCCCATTCTCTTAATTATTCATTCTTTCCTTCTTTTTTCTATTTTCTCAATTATTCATTGTTTTTTCTCGCATTTATTTATTCTTTCTTTCTTTCTTTTTTTTTTCCTTTCTCTCAATTATTTTTTCTTTTCTTCTTTTTCCCATTCTTCCAATTATTCATTCTTTCCTTCTTTTTTCCATTTTTCAATTATTCATTGTTTTTCTCGCATTTATTTATTCTTTCTTTCTTTTCTTTTTTCTTTCTCTCAATTATTTTTTCTTTTCTTCTTTTTCCCATTCTTCCAATTATTCATTCTTTCCTTCTTTTTTCCATTTTCTCAATTATTCATTGTTTTTTCTCGCATTTATTTATTCTTTCTTTCTTTCTTTCTTTTTTCCTTTCTTTCAATTATTTTTCTTTCCTTCTTTTTCCCATTCTCTCAATTATTCATTCTTTCCTTCTTTTTTCCATTTTCTCAATTATTCATTGTTTTTTCTCGCATTTATTTATTCTTTCTTTCTTTCTTTCTTTTTTCCTTTCTCTCAATTATTTTTTCTTTCCTTCTCTTTCCCATTCTCTCAATTATTCATTCTTTCCTTCTTTTTTCCATTTTCTCAATTATTCATTGTTTTTTCTCGCATTTATTCATTCTTTCCTTTCTTCTTTTCCATTCTCTCATTTTTTCTTTCTTTCTTTCTTTCTTTCTTCCTTTCTCTCAATATTTCATCTTTTTCTCATATTTATTCTTTCTTTCTTTCTTTTTTTCATTTTTCTCATTTATCCTTCATTTCCTTATTTTTCCCATTCTCTCAATTATTAATTCCCTTTTCTCGCATTTATTCTTCCTTTCTTTCTTTTTCATTTCTCATTTATTCTTTCTTTCTTTCTTTTTTCCTTTCTCTCAATTATTCTTTCTTTCCTTCTTCTTTTTCCATTCTCTCAATTATTCATTTCTTTCCTTTCTTTTTAATTTTTCTCAATTATCCTTTCTTTCCTTTTTTTATTTTCTCTCTTTTATTCTTTCTTTCATCCTTTTTTTTAATTTTCTCACGGGCATTCATTTTTTTCATTCTTTCTTTTATTTTATTATCTTACTTACGCTTTCTTTCATCACATTTTTTTTTTCTGGCTTCTGTTCCTTTATTTCCATGTTTCTTTCTCTCCACGGCCATTATTATTATTATTATTATTATTATTATTATTATTATTATTATTATTATTTTAATTCCTCCTATCTTTTTTTCAGCTTTCTTCTTCTTCTTTTTTTATCTTCTTGGAAGCGACATACCATCTGCTTCCACTCAAAATGGCCTTGTGCCTTCGCCCCGTTCTGCTCCGGTTCCGTCTCACCCTCCAGCACCATGCTTTCTCTGCCGACGCCCCTAAACTTCTCAACGTTACCACCAGCCGGGCCACTCGCCGCTTCAATTCCCCCGAAAACACGAGACTCCTCCGCTTCTGTTTGGAGTAAAAATTCTCAAAAGAACTTGACTTCCCTCTATTCCAGCGGGTGGGGTGATGGTAAGAGCGGAGAGGAAACGTTACGCACCTCGACACGCAGACCGTGTTCACTTAGAACGCAAGGGCCTGGTGGGTCGAGGGAAAGAAATGGGATCCGTAAGGGAGCGTCACTTGCAGATAAGAAGCCGAAACACATTCATGTATTGAAATACGTATAATGGCCTCCGTTAAAAATAAATTTTATAGTGATAAATATATGGAAATGTACACATACAAACTCACATATATAGCGATTTACCCATAACTGATATAGTAATATACATACATACACACACAGACACAGACACACATATATATATATATATATATATATATATATATATATATATATATATATATATGTATATATATATATATATATATATATATATATATATATATATATATATAAACAGAAAATTATTTTTCTGCTGATGATATGATGTTGGAATCTAAATGAAATAATAATAAAACGAAAAGAATATTAATATACAACAAAGTGTGTCTGAAGATTTTAATGTTCAATATATATATATATATATATATATATATATATATATATATATTGAACATTAAAAAATATTAAAAAATTAAAATCTTCAGACACACTTTGTGGTAAATTATTATTCCTTCGTTTTATTATTATTTCATTTAGATTCCAACATCAATAAAATAATTTTCTGCTTGCTGTTATATATATGTATATATATCTATATATATATATATATATATGTGTGTGTGTGTGTGTGTGTGTGTGTGTGTGTGTGTGTGTTTAGGCAGCAAACACTCTTTCATGTACATATCGTTGTATACGACAGACAATATGTTTTGATTTATTTTTTTTATATAATTTCTCATGTAATCTAATATTTTTTTTTCTTTGGGGGATGATAAATTATATAAAAACTGTCCAAATGTTCTTTTCATCCGGGCGCTTTTTGCTATACATTTAGACATTTTCAAGGTTTTTTTTTTTTCTTTTTTTTGCATGCAAAAATAGGCTAAAAATAATAGAAGCCTTATTAATAAAAACAAAATAATAAAAAACAGAACACTGAATAATATTAATAACGAACATGGGCATAATATCTTGACAGTGTTTTGAAAAAAAAAAAAAAACTTTATATAAATACAGACATACAACAATCTATTTCTTGTTAACAGCTAATATATTTCAACGTTGAAAAGTTTAGCACTTTTATAGCCGAAAGCGCTCGGATAAAAAGAACAATTGAACATATGAGAGGATCCTATTGAAAATAAGTAGACAAAACTTGTCTAAATTACTGAATGAGACACACACAGACACAGACACACACACACACACACACACACATATATATATATATATATATGTGTGTGTGTGTGTGTTGTTTCATAATTAAACGAATTACATATATAATCTCTTTAAACAATATTTTTAGTGGATACACATATTTAAGTAGACGCTTAAAAATAATGTTTAAAGTGTTTATATATATATATATATATATATATATATATATATATATATACACAAAAAATAATCACACATAGAATTAATCAGAAGTATTAATGCGATTATTGGCGACATCCATCGCTAGAAAACATAATATATGCATTAAAATCCTGTTCATCCATAGTGTTGCGTCTTTGCACGTTCCGATGTCTT